ATTGATACTTTTTAAAAATTATGAATTTATTCATAACTGATTTCATTATATTAGGTTAGATTAAGAATGCACAACAATACAATGTATTTTATAATAAATTAGTATAACAATCAGAAAATAAAACATATTTTGAATCAATTTTTAGGCATTTTCTAAAATTTGTATATATTCTAATAAGTGAAAGATATAATTTAAAAAATGACGTCGATTATAAAGCTTCATGCTGTTTCTGGAGCTATGGATGAATCTCCTCCTTGTTATATATTACAAGTTGATGAGTTAAGAATATTACTTGATTGTGGTTGGGATGAGAATTTTGACCATGAATTTATAAAAGAATTAAAACGGTAGGTAAATTATTATGACATTTCAAGTGATATAAATGCAATACAAGAATGTAAACATACTAATATATTATTCCTTTTAGACATGTTCATCAAATAGATGCAGTACTCTTATCATATCCAGATCCATTACATCTAGGTGCTTTACCATATTTGGTTGGAAAATGTGGATTAAATTGTCCTATATATGCTACTATTCCTGTATATAAAATGGGACAAATGTTCATGTATGATATGTACCAGGTATTTCTAATGAGAGAAGTTTGTCATTTGTAATATCTGATAATAGCATAAAGGGTGATCATAAAAAGTATTTATATTTTTTATTATAGTCTCGTCATAATATGGAAGATTTTGATCTTTTTACACTTGATGATGTTGATGCAGCATTTGACAAAATTGTTCAACTAAAATATAATCAAAGTATATCAATGAAAGGAAAGGGGTATGGGGTGACTTTGACACCTTTACCAGCTGGACACATGATTGGGGGAACTATTTGGAAAATTGTAAAAGTTGGAGAGGAAGACATAATATATGCTGTTGATTTTAATCACAAAAAAGAACGGCATTTAAATGGGTGTGAATTAGAAAGATTACAAAGACCATCTTTATTAATAACAGATGCTTTCAATGCTACATATCAACAAGCTAGACGTAGAACCAGAGATGAAAAATTAATGAGTATGTGTGCAAATGTTAAATTTTATTTATGATAATACTGTTAGTAGTTTTTCATAATATTTTATACTTAAATATATTTTACAGCAAATATTTTACAAACACTACGCGGAGGTGGAAATGTTTTGGTTAGTGTAGACACTGCTGGTCGTGTATTAGAATTAGCACACATGTTAGATCAACTGTGGCGCAATAAAGAATCTGGTTTACTTGCATATTCTTTAGCTCTTTTAAATAATGTTAGTTATAATGTTGTAGAGTTTGCTAAATCACAGATAGAATGGATGAGTGATAAATTAATGAGAAGTTTTGAAGGAGCTAGAAACAATCCATTCCAATTTAAACATTTACAACTTTGTCATAGTATGGCAGAACTAAATCAAGTTCCTAGCCCAAAGGTTAGAATGTTTATAGCAAAGCAATTAATTTGTGAGTATTACAATTGAATGAATAAATTTATATATGTTAATATTTTCAGGTTGTACTTGCAAGTACTCCCGATATGGAATGCGGTTTTTCAAGAGAGTTGTTTCTGCAATGGTGTGGTAATCCTCAAAACAGTATTATATTAACTAGTAGAACTTCACCAGGAACCCTTGCAAGAGATTTAGTAGAAAAAGGAGGCAATAGAAATATTACATTGGAGGTAAAACGAAGAATTAAACTGGAGGGCATTGAATTAGAAGAATATCAAAGAAAAGAAAAATTAAAACAAGAACAATTGAAACAAGAACAAATGTATGTAGTATAATACTATGAAAATTGATTTACTATTAAATTATATTTTGCATATTTTGCTAGGGAGACTGCTGATGTAAGTTCTGAATCTGAAGATGAAATAGAAGTTGGTGGAGGTAGAGGGAAACACGATTTATTAGTAAAACAAGAAAGTAAACCAGGTTTTTTCAAACAAAGTAAAAAACAACATCCTATGTTTCCATTTGTTGAAGAAAAAATTAAAATAGATGAATATGGAGAAATTATAAGGTATTACTTTATTGTTAAGTTAATAATAATGTATAATGATTTTTTCAAATACTGATAATGATTTGTATTTATTATAGACCAGAAGATTATAAGATAGCAGAAACCATGCCAGAAGTAGATGATAATAAAGAAAATTTAGAAACAAAACAAGAAGATACTGCCCACCATCCAGAAATACCTACTGATATTCCAACTAAATGTATTCAAGTTACACGTACAATGACAGTTAATGCATCTGTTACATACATAGACTTTGAAGGAAGATCTGATGGAGAATCACTACAAAAAATTTTAGCACAATTAAGACCTAGAAGGGTTGTATTAGTTAGAGGATCACAGAAAGACACTGAAATCTTGGCACAACAAGCGCAAGGTGCAGGTGCACGAGTGTTTGTTCCAGGTAGAGGAGAAACATTAGATGCTACAACAGAGACGCACATATATCAGGTAATATCTAACTGAATTTTCTAAATATCTCAATGCGTATAAATTAAAATTCTATCAATTTTATATAAACATGAATATTTTTCTCAGGTTCGTTTGACCGATGCACTTGTTAGCGGACTGAATTTCTCAAAAGGAAAAGGAGATTCTGAGGTAGCATGGGTCGATGCAATGATAACTGCTCGCGATCAAGTATGCCGTGATGCTGTTGCTGATACCGAGTCAAATGATCCAATAGATCAAAGCGACAAAATACTTACTTTGGAACCATTACCATTAAATGAGGTATGCAATTGTAAGAAAATGAAGAAATGACCTTTACATAACAAATGTATTTGTATTTGATAGGTACCTGGACATCAAACAACATTTGTAAATGAATTAAAATTGTCTGATTTTAAACAGATTTTAAACAAAAGTAATATTCCATCTGAATTTAGTGGAGGAGTTTTATGGTGTTGCAATAATACTATCGCCGTTAGGAGGGTTTGTATTTAATATTATAAAGATGTTATAACTTAATATAACAAAAATACTCCTTAATATAATTTCATAACGTAATTTTTTTAGCATGAAGCTGGAAAAGTAATTCTAGAAGGTTGCATTTCAGAAGACTATTATAAAGTGCGCGAATTGTTATATGAACAATATGCAATTGTATAAATTATGACCTTTTATATTAATAAATATAAATTTAATATAAAAATGTACATTGTGCCCTTTTTATTCGACTCTCATGTTTAGAAAACAATTTCATTACAAAATTGGATCTATTAATAATTATAAAGTTAAGAAGTTAAATATTTTTAAGTGTTATGTAAATAATATAATATTTAACATTTCAACAAATTTTAAATTGAAATATAGGAACATAAGACATATTTCGTAAGTACGTGTGTTATGATCTGATAATTTCAAAACCTGGCGCGAAATTCATTAACCTAGCATTTTTTGTGGTTATCAAGCACTTAAGTTACTCTTTAGTACACATTTGTATTATTCAATCAAATATTATTAAAATCATTTTTTTAACGTTAACACAGCATAATAAACAGAAATTTAGTGAATAATAAATTTCACAATTTATCACGAAAAATTTGGTTGATCAGTGAATGGGGTATTTCAATAACAATCCACGATATATGTTTCAAAGTAAAATTTTTAAATACGTTGTTTTTAAGGTGTATGTCAATAAGTTACTATTTATAAAATTCATGTAATAACAAATTTAATTCTTTAAATAAAATTTTTGTTCCAGAATTCCGTCCATACATGGGTCAGATAACCCAATTCACAAATTATAAATTCATATGCATATGTTAATTAACAAAATTACTACATTACATTACAAAACATGCGAAAATACTATCAAGCTGCACTTGTAGTGATTGCTGTAATAAGCCTTGTATCTTTATTATTTTATAGACATGAGTACAATAAGTTAAGATATGTCTTAGAAGTTTTTAATTATTTTGGTAAGCCATATCAGAAAAATGTTGAGACAAATTGTACAAGTAATGTGCCAATATTTTCTAAATTTAATATGAATTTTGAAGAACCATTTTCTTCTTGGCAAAGATTAGACAATGAGGTGTATGTTTATTCTGCATATAATATACATGAAAAAGAAATTCAAGTAATAGGTGTTGGTTCTCCAAATAATATTAAAGATATGCAGTGTGCAATATTTTTTGAAAATGAAATGAAACCAATCTTTGGAAGTTTTAACTATCTTTCAATTGATAATAGTTTCAATGTTACAAATACTGATGAAAATGTTAATTATAAGGGATATCATTTCTATTGTGCATATACTAAGAATAAAATACCAGTAGGTATAATGATTTTTACAAAATCTAATACAAATCTTAATGATATACCTATATTACCAATCAAAAGTCAACCGTATAACTTAAACAATACCAATGTGGGAATATGTGTAATACCACCATCAACAAAACCAATGCATCTATTACATATGATAGGTTTTATTAATTTTCATGATATAATTGGTGTGGATAATTTCATAGTGTATGACTTTGGTATTCCAAATGAATTTAATAGCAACTTTAAGGAATTATCTAAATCTCAAAATCCATATTGGAAGTTTACATATACAGTAGTTCCATGGAATTTTCCTTTTCCTGGCATTCATCCTTCTATAGTAAAGGATCTCATACAAGCAGATTGTTTATATCGTACATATAACAAAATCATGTATATTACTACATTGTCTTGGGAAGAGTATATAGTTTTAAGATATCATCATTCTCTTATAGATTTAATGACAGATTTCAAACGATCTAGACTGAGAGCTGACCGTTATAAGCTAAAAACACTAACATTTTGTATGCAGCAAGCAGATAGTACAGTGGCTAAAAATGTAACATTTATGATATTTAAAAAGTTACATTTTGATTCAAGTATTCCTGACAATCAGCCAATTTATATTTATAATACACATGAAATATTACGAAAAAACAATATTTATACTCGTGATATCGGAAAAGATTTAGTTACATTACATCGTTACAAACATTGTCTTGGAAAGTTAAATCCAGAAACCAACACACAAGATAGTTCAGTTTTAAGATTTACCGAAGATATACAGAATTCACAAATATTTAGGAAATTCATAACAGAAAATAAATTTTTATTAGACAATAATATGTGACATTTAAATTTAATGTAATTGTAAGATAATTTTAGTGTAAAAGTTTAATTCATTTATACGTATTGTAAGATAAAACCATAAGAATGTAATTGTATAATATAACTTGTATAAAAGTTGTTATAATACAGAATATTTCAAATTTTAATATTTACGATTCCACAATCTATGTATAAATATAAATACTTGAATTTCTCAATACTATGTTTTATATTAAATACTTTTCACATGATAGTATATTTTTATACTTTAAATATCTTATTTATTAAAAGGAAACATAATAGTATTTTT